AGACCCAAAAGGAAAATAAAGCAATAAAATAAATGTGTTAGACACGCAAACGGTCATATTTCTGCAAGAACATCAACGCGGCCTCGTCTCCATCATCCTCCCTGGGTTGAGGAGGATTTGCCCTCGAATCCGAATGGGCCTCGTCTTCGTCCGAGTTGTCACCCTCGAACGACACCAAATGCGTGACGTTAAAAACGTCCGAAGTGCGAATATGGGACGGAAGCTTAAGACGGTAGGCATTGGGATTGATCTTTTCCACAACCTCCACCGGACCAATTTTCCGAGCAGATAATTTATTATACTCATGAGCAGAAAATCTATCCTTCGTCAAGACAGCCCAAACAAAATCACCTACCTCAAACTCCACGTGGCGACGACGAGTATCAGCCTGCTTCTTATAAGAAGTCGTAGTCGCCTCCAGCCGGGCCCGGGCTGCCTCGTGTGTTTGCTGCACATCGGCGATGAAATCTGAAGCACGCCGATCGCCACTGCTGCCGGACGGCAACGCCACCAAGCCGGACGGCCCGCGCGGATGGATGCCATAGACCACAAGAAAAGGAGTGAACCCGATCGCACGGCTAAGAGCCGAATTATGCGCGAACTCCGCCTGACTCAGGCGCTGGTCCCAACTGCGAATGTTATCCCCCACCAAACAACGGAGCAAGTTCCCTAAGGAACGATTCACCACCTCAGTCTGACCGTCCGTCTGAGGATGATAGGCACTGCTGAAGTCGAGTCTAGTGTCTGCCATACGCCACAAACTCCTCCAAAAATAGCTTAAAATGCGGGTATCGCGATCAGAGACAATCGCCGAAGGCAGACCATGAAGGCGGTAGATCTCCCGAAAAAACAACTGGGCCACATGGACAACATCAGTGGTCCGTTTACACGGAATGAAGTGTGCCATCTTCGAAAATCTATCCACCACAACAAAAATCGAATCAAAACCCCTCTGTGTACGAGGCAAGCCCAACACAAAGTCCATACTGATGGTCTGCCATGGCTGCGACAGAATAGGAAGGGGACGGTATAAACCAGCATTCGTGGCAACACCTTTCGATATCTGGCAGACACGGCAACGAGACACAAAACGCTCAACATCACGGCGCAAAGAAGGCAAAAAATAAGAGCGACTCACCAGCTCGACGGACCTGTCGCGGCCCACATGACTGGTGCCATGAAGATCAGCAATAAGCATCTGGCGCAAACTGCAGTCCAGAATACACAAACGAACTCCCCGGAATAAAAACCCATCAGTGAGAGTGTACTCCTCACAAGGGCCATCTCGCAAACGAGCTAGAACAGGGCCAAAGAAAGAGTCAGTAGGATAGAGATCACAAAGAACCTCAAAGCCAATCACCGACACGCGCATCTCAGATAATAATAAAACCCGACGGCTCAAAGCATCGGCAACCCTGTTCAAGGCGCCCGACCGGTGTCGAAGGACGAATGTGAACTGCTGAAGGAATGACGTCCACGAAGCATGTCGTGCCGAAATATTATCCTACGAGGCAAGATGACGAAGAGCCTCGTGATCGGTATACAAAACGAACTCCCGATGGAAGATAGTGTTGCCAATGTCGCACAGCACGCACCACTGCATAAAACTCAACATCATACGTGCTATATCGCAGTCGGGAGCCCGACAACTTCTCACTGAAGAAAGACACGGGACGTCCGTCCTGGCTAAGGACAACACCGATTCCCACCTTCGAGGCATCGCATGATAGCTCAAATGGTCTCGAGAAGTCCGGTAAAACGAGCACCGGAGCGTGTGTCAACTTGCTCTTAATGAGAGCAAATGCTTCCTCGGCTGCCTCCGTCCAGATAAAAACCTTCCCCGTGAGACAACTCGTGATCGGAGCCATGATAGAACTGAAATTGGAAATAAACCGTCTATAGAACGAAGCCAAGCCATGAAAACTGCGTGCCTCCGTGAAAGTAGTTGGCGTAGGCCAAGCACGAACGGCTTCCACCTTGCTGTCATCCACACGTATCCCAGCTCCAGAGATCACAAAGCCCAAAAATAGAACCGAGTCCACCATAAAAAGGCACTTCTTCGGTGCCGCATAAAAGGACTCAGCCCGAAGAATAAGCAAAACCTCCCGAATGTGCTCCAAATGCTCCTCCACGGTGCGACTATAAATAAGTATGTCGTCGAAATAAACGACGACACATCTGCCAATAAGGTCTCGTAGTGTCTGATTCATAACGCGCATAAAAGTACTCGGAGCATTA